TTTGGTAGAGATCAAAATCGGATTAAAATTGAAAAATTAGCCGTTATTGTTGACTTTTATTAGATGGGTGGGACCCAATAACGACTATATTTTCAATTTTAATTGGATTTTGAGCCGTACCAAACAGACCCTTGGTGTGGAGAGGGAGTGTCGCCACAATCTTTAGATTCGGGTAGCGGTAGGAGGTGTCTCACATGAACATAAAAGATAATTTTGTATAATGAAATTAAATATTTGAGAGTAACTTGCAATAAAAATAATCAATAGGATAATTATGTTGCGAATTTCTTGTTTTAATAAATGGTTTCTCCGCTTTCATACGTGTTTCGAACTGGTTATTTTTTACCACATCACCTCCGAATGTTTTATTGTAATACATTTTTCATTTGCTAATAAGATAAAATGTAACGAAATATCGAAATTGTATTGAAAAGAAAATTAAGAGGATAATAGATTTCTAATCGACTTCACATTGACAACCCAAAGCGCGGGATTAACTGGATTGTCTATTTCTAATTTATTTTGTGCTTTGCAATTGAATTTTGTTTTCTTGTGTAAAGTTAGTTAGCTACGCTTCCACCGTCCAATATTTACGTGAAACACGAAATACCTTTTTATTGATTTTAATGTTTTACTATTCACCGACTTTACTTAAAAAGTCAATATTTATTTATGATCTTGGAGCATTATGATAAATTCGTGTTCAATAGAAATTAAAATTTTATTAAAATCTACTAAAAATTTAATTTTAATATTCGATTGTGCTAAATAACTAATTATTATTTCCTTTGGGTAAAATTGGTTTTGGACCGGAGCTTTAAATTGAAACTATTTGTGTGGTTTCATTCTCGAGTTAAATTGAAAGTTCGAGTATCAAATGTTTTAATCTTGATTTCGATAGATCGTTCAAGTTTTAAATTGTTAGGGTTCCACGTTCTTGATTTTTTTATTTTAGGCTACTCGATAGGATTTAGATCATAACGATATTGATTCGATATGCTCTTCAATTGCCTTCGTAAAGAACTCTTTTTATAAAAAATGATCACTTTCTTGATCAAAAGGTCCAACGTTACGAATCATATAATAATATAAAAGTTTGGACCCCGTTTTGACTTGTATGTGGGCTACTGACATCCTATGGTTGCACACCCAACATTGGTATGACGTGTCAAGTGAACTGGTGAACCTTATTGCCAGTTTCAAACCACACGAATTTCCAAATAATCAAGACCATACCCCACCCCACCTCACTCCACCCCACCCCCGAAATCCCACCCCGAACCCAGATACTCTATCTCTCTCTCTATATATATATAACTTAGAAGACCACTTTGGATTCACCCAAAACACAGTTCAGCTCATGAGATCTCCCCATAAATACAAAGATTGATTTTCTATATTTCTTGAGAAAAACCTAACCTTTGAGTTCGAGTATAAATTAGAATGGGTCGATTCCACCACTTCCACCTGGTTCTGGTTTTATTCTTACTACTTGCTACAATCTTTATGGTTCAGGCAGTGGATTGTGGATCCGTAAATGCAGAGAGAAAACTGAGGC